CAATCTTTTAGAGCTTTATACGATTCAGTAGTGCTTAAGCAGCAAAAATTAGAATAACTTACATGAAATGAAATAATTGATAGAATACAGGAGAATGCAGTAAGACCAAACGAAAAATAAAGTCCTCGTTTTCTTCCATATCGAGCGCTTACGCTTTGAATCAGTAATGAACCAAAAATGGCACCAATAGAAAAAGTTGCAATTATCACAGACCATACACTCTGAATACAAATAGTTTAGTGTTTTATTTGTTTTAAAAAAAGTGAAAAAAAAATTGAAATTATATTCATTGTTTTTAAAAAAAATTTTTTTTTTTGGAAAAATATTCTTATTCTGGTGTAGCCATTCCTACGCATCTTTAGATGAGTAAATGTTTGCTAAACTAATTATGCATAAAAAATTTCGTATACTTTATCTAGTTGTAATTGTTGTATTTTACTGAACTTTTTTGTACCTCATTCAACATCTGTACTACAAAATAGTCAGAAAGTTTTCGAAAAGTTTTATTTATCCTCTCAAAAAAAAAAATACAGATACTTAAAAGCACTGTTAAAACAGCAAGTGAACTTGGTAATATAATAGCCAAATTAATTTCTTCTTAAAAAAAATTCATGACCTGTGTACTCATAACACTATAACTATAAAGATTTTTCGTGAAGAATTAATTTCAATTTTTTTTTGTTTTTAAAACAACAAAAGCTTATTTCTTGACTAACAGTTGAAGCGAAAAAAAAAGCGGTCTCAAATTATACGTCTTATTGGCAAACACAGTGTATAGGAAATGAAAATCTGACTTCAAACTTGGTATTAGAGATGATAAAATATTTACATCTACTGCAGAAAATTGACTAATTACTGCACCGAAAACAATTTGACCAGAAAAATTTAAGTGATTAGTTTAACAAAAATTAGTTTAAAAAAAATTTTTTTATTTGAATTATAAAGTTCTGTAGAAATGCTTGGCTTTTTATATATGATAAAAGATAGATAATTGTTTCTCAATCCTTAAAGTTTCGGCACTCCGTGGCGAACGTTATCGTTTAATTTGTAGTGCAAATTTCAAAAATGTGATAATGAAAAATTGGAAAAAAGAGAAACACAAAAAACGATGGTATTATTAGAAAAACTGCTTATCAGTCTTTGCGTATTACAGTTTTAAAAATGTATTCTTAATAGAAAAGTTTTAGGAAATTTTTTCAAATACTTTCTTTAACCACTTTTATCGTAGCACCCTTATCGTTTGACCACTCTTATCGTTCTTTATGTCTTACCAAAGTATAGCATAAATTCAAAAATAAATTATTTTTTTTCTCGAAAGTTGTCTTCAGAATTATTACTTTTGCTGCATTCTCTTCATGACTCCAACCGTAGTGTAAGGCATGTGAATCATTCACAAAAGTCATAAGTGCTTGTTGAGCCGGATTGGTTACGCAGAGCTGAAAACCGAAATGGAACGAACCCCCAAGACTGACCAGGGCAGATATTAGAAACATCCTTAACGGTAGCATTTTTCCCATGATTGTTGACCAATTTGGAAGACCCTCTTTGATCCTCCTTTTCTCACTGAAATACTAAGACTTGTATAACAACAGTCCAAACACAGCTGAACTGAAATTTCCAATGTCCTTGTTTCTTGCACTATTCTTCTAAGAGCCACTTTTGTAGCTTTTATTAAACAACAAGGTTTAAGCTTCTTCCAAATTTGCAAGAAAAAAAACAGTACATTAGAGCTTTTAATTAAATTTTTGACGAAAAACGTCTAATAGAACTAAAAAAAAGCTAAGGAAAAAATACCACTTTTTCAAAAAGTAGTTTTTATAATTCTTGAAAAAATGTTTTATTGTCTACAGAATCAAAAATCTGTTGATTATTTAACAGATATCCAACAAAAATTCTGAAAAAAAAAACTTTCTTTTAACGTGCTAAACAATCTTATGCTTTGTAAAAACTAAATGCTTTTTATTGTTCAAAAAGTTGTTTATGAAATTTAGCAATTCAGAAAGTACGGTTAATTAAAGTACAAAAAAAAAAATAAGCATTCCTTGGGAATAAAAATGATGTGAAGAATTTTAGTAACGTAGAAAAATATTTATTATTCAAAAGTTGATCTGATTACACTGTGGTCATCTTTTTGGCTTCAAAATCGGTGTCTTAAAAAACAGAAAAAAAAAAAAAAAAAAAAAGAGAAAAGCAAAACGAGATACCAATCTTTTTCTCATCATTGTAACACTAATTGAATAACACACGAAATATTATGACATCTTTCTAAGATATAAAAAATACGCAATTAATGTGAGATAAAATTGTAAATTTGATAGAAAGAAAAGAATAAATTTTTTTTTTCTTGAAAAAGTTGAACAAGGAAAATTGGTGTTGTTTTCCAGGAGCGTTATCAACGTTTTGTTAGCAGTTTGTTGGATGAAACTGTCTTTTATCGTTATGGCAATCAGTTTTTTTCTTTTTCAGCCACTTTTATTTTATTTATTTATTTATATATATATTTTTTTGTGCGTGTGATTATATATTTCAAACTGAATGTCAGGAATTGTTAATTTAAAATTCCAGAGTTTAGATAAACTTTTTTGTTGACGGTATTGTTTGGTAGAATATGATTATGTATTACCAAAAGTTGCATGTGCTACTGATGACAACTTTTTTAGCAGTATGTAAATTTTGGTAAAGAGATTGAATAAAACAAAAACAGAAACAAAAAAAAAAAAAAAAAAA